ATTACCCTATATTACCCTCATGGAAAGATTACCCCCATACTAGGTAGGAAATACTGTAAATATCATTTAACAATACATACTTTTAGCCACCAGAAATACCATTTTTATCCCATTTTACCACAATTTTTTTTATTCTGGTTCTCAGACTACTGATCTATGTCATTAGTAGGATTAGATCCATAATAAACCAAGAACGTACCTGCAAAACCTACTTTGCTTTGTTCCGTTCTGTACTTTCATATGGAATATTGTGTATTGTGACACAATGCAGACACGTCAAAAGTTATAGATCTACAAAAGAAGACTGTTAGAGCGATAGAAGGATCCTCACCTCGAGAGCTTGCAGATCACTATATATCAATCATAAAATCCCAACTGCTACAAACATTTATATTTGACAACAAGCTATCTGCGGAGCATGCTGATAAAACAAATCATATATTGAGAAGTGATGTTCATGAACACAATACATAAAATAGAAATGCTAAGATTTGTCTTAAATCATCGCTAAGAACTACATTAGGTGCCAAGATCTGTAACAAGCTACCCGATGGATGGAAGAACAAAACTTTTGTTAAAAACCATTTGATAAATAATCCTCATTATTTTATAAATGAATTTTTAGACAAAATTAGGTATTATAAATGATGTAAATTTTATCTATTGAATTTCAATAAATGGCTATTCTATTCTATACTATATATACTAATAAATAAAAATAATAAAATTATTACCAGAAAATTAATATAAGGAACTTGTTGCACACTGCAATAATCACATTAAACACTAAATATAAATAATAACAAACAATAATTTACTTTATGTTAAGTTTAATTGAATATTACTCATTCAAATTAAGAATAACAAATTCAAACATTTACAAGAAAAAAACAAATTTTGACACATAGCAATATTTTTACTTTGTCTTGAAGTTAGCTTCAGCTTTAACGCGCAATATTTAAATCGCAAATTATTAACTTAAACAATAAACTCAAATATGTTTTTGAAACATCATTATAACTATTAGTTTGATTTAATATTATTCATTCCAAATAAAAATAACAAATTCAAACATTCACAAAAAAAAACACAAATTATACACATTTATATAATTCATAATAGCATTATCATATTTAAAAACAATTAGTGTAAGAGGTGAAACATCCTCATTACATCCTGTCAGATCGGGAGTGCCTCAAGGTAGTGTCATTGGGCCACTATTATACCTCATATACACTGAGGACCTACCACAGAAAGATGACATTTTAACAGCAACATATGCAGACGACACAGGCATACTGGCAGCACATGAAGATCCCATAATCACGTCAAAAATGCTGCAGGATCATCTTGACCTGATACTAAGATGGTTAAGCTTGTGGAGAATAGAAGTTAACAGCAGCAAGTCAAAGCACATCACTTTCACTCTTTGCAAAGGGACTTGTCCTGCAGTAAGACTTAATGACGAAATTATAGATCAAACAGATACAGTCAAATATCTAGGTTTACACCGGATAAAGACGAACTGGAAAGAACACATTAAGAAAAAAGAGGAAGCAGCTTGAAGAAACCAGAAGAAGATATCATGGCTGGGCTGCTTGGATGAAAATCAAAACTTGACACGCATAATAAAATTTACCTCTATAAAGCCATCATTAAACCAATTTGGACATACGGCTACAGCTATGGGGATCAACTTCCAACTCAAACGCTTTAATAATTCAAAGATTTCAAAACAGGTTATTAAAAGAAATTTTGAAAGCGCAAAGTATGTTCCAAATTGGTTAATACACAGAGACAGGCACTAGTACAGTTAAGGATGAAATAATAGCTTACTCAACAAATATAGAAATCGCCTAGCTGATCACCCGAACTTGCTCGCCAGAAAACTTCAGAACAACTCTACCAGGGCCCAATTAAACAGAAAATTTCTTCTGCATTAATCAACAATAGATAAGACCTTCGACAAATCACTGGCAATGGTCAGATGATTTGTATTTTGCCAACGCCTTCAGTTTCATGTCAAATTTTTTACTTGTTGTCCGTTTCAGGACAGTTGTAAGAATTATTAGAATAATAATAATAAAACAAAATTTAAAAAAAATTAAAAACAATAATGTAATTAAAGTCATACTTCAAATATGACATGATCGGTTTGTCATTGTAATTAGAATTTAGAAAAGAACCTTCATTAGAGAAATAAAGTAATTGCTGATTAATAAATTCTATAATGTTCGTTCACACCAGTGGATTATGTTAAACAACGCCTAAACATATATTGTTTTCACAATTTCACTCATCATGTAATAATTGTGTTTGAAGAATTAAAATTAACATACATTTATTGACTGCTTGTATTTTTAAAGTAAAACTTCTTAGGCGCGACTGGGGTGTAAATCTGTGAGAATGCAACGGAATTTGCGTTACGCCCGAACTGTACGTCATTCGCTCTCGATGAATTCATTTCTATACGGGCCGATTGTGATTAGTCGTCGTGTCGCGTAAATAGAGATCTGTTGTTGTATGCGTACCGATATCACCAAGGAAATCGGCATATATAAATAAACATTTTAAGGTTACATCGTAGTACAAATCTTGATTTAATAAAACAAATGCCAGAATTAGAAAAATATTTTACTCTGTTCCCCATAAATAATTATAATGAAAGTGACAAAACAAATAAAACATTTTTGCCGTGTACTAAACATAAGTTTATTAAATTAATTTCTATATTATTCGTAGTTTCTATAAATCTTTGAAGTTATTAAAATAGAAAATATTTTTTAGACAGGACAGATATTACAGCTACTCAAAGAATAAGATTATATCCAGCAAAAAAATAAAAAAAAAATATTACATGACGCATAAATAAATAAACATGAAGAGTGAATTGCAAAAACAATATTTCTTCAGGCGTTGTTTAACATTGTTTGTTTGTTTGTTTGTTAACACGTTGTTTATTTATCTATGCCGATTTCCTTGTTGATATCGGTACGCATACAACGACAGATCTCCATTCACATACACGACGACTAATCACAATCGACCCGTATAGAAATGATTTCCTCAAGAGCGAATGACGTACAGATCGTGCGTAACGCAATTTCCGTTGCATTATCACAGATTTACACCCTGGCGGCGTCTAAAGAAGTTTTACTTAAGAAAAAACAGATAAATTTTGACGCATACCGCCATTTTGACATTATCATGAAGTTAACTTCAGGTTTAAAGCGCGATATTTAAATCGCAAACATTAATTTAAACAATGAATGTTTTGAGACTTTAGTATATTACATTACCAAATAATTCATTACAATTTATTACATTCTTATCTTGCGTGAAAACGATTTCCTCGATATAAACTTTATCATTATATCTCAATATAAACTATATCAAATTAGATAACAAAAAATCATCATGTAATCAGGCAAGTATTTAAATCATTAAATTAAAATAATAACGATAATAACTTACTGTTTTCTTTTGCATGTTTCACAAATATAAGGGTATGGTCCAGTATGAATTCTTTCATGACGATTTAATGTAGATTTTATTGTATTGCATGACCTACAATGTACAAAAGCGTTCATCAGTACTACTTCACTCGTTTGATTTGTACTGGTGGCCACATCTTGCTCATCAATCAGTTCCTGCTTTATTTGTTCATCTATCGTTATCTCAGATTCTAAAAATCGCTGTAGACATATTTCTTCATTTTCTGGACATATTTCAGTTCGATTTGTACTAGAGGCCATATCTTGCTCATCAACCGGTTCCTGCTTTATTTGTTCATTTATCCTAATCTCAGACTCTAAAAATCGCTGTAGACATATTTCTTCATTTTTTGGACATATTTCAGTTATTTCATAATTATCTATTTCTTGTTTCTTTTGAGGATATTGAATTGGTAACATTGCTAAAAGATGTTTATTGATTGTTTGTCTTGAGCGTGGTTTTCTTTTCGCCAGTTCTTCTTCAACAAACTAGAAAAACAATTTTCTGTAATTATAAATATAATTTGTGCATGAAAATTAATTAAGATGAATATTTATACGAACTCCGTTTCGCCACCTGATTTTATTACACAACAGTAATGAATTTATTTCGATTACAAAAATAAAGTGTTTTTTAGTTGAACTTCTCTAAGTAAATGAAAGTGAATTCGCAAAATATCCGTTTCATTGAAGTGCTCTTTGGTAAACCACATTTTTTTTTTGGTCTGGCGTTAACACAAACAAAGCGGATGGTTTCCCAATTCGTGAACAGGCAACGTATAACTGCCCATGTGAACAACAATGATTTTCTTAATAATTTATTTGAAATTTATCCCGCAAACACTAAGCGATTGGCCTTGCGACTTGTTATTGCGAACACAAGGCGAACTGGATATAGCAATCATTTGAAGTCAAACGGAAGACCAGTCGGAATCATTGGTATGTCACCAAATCGCCAGCAATTTTTGATTGAATTGTGAAATTCAGTGCGTGTACATCATCATTCTTTGCGGCAGGAATTGCTCGTTGACTTAACCAAGCATAATTCTGATAATACTAATGTCATTACTCGAATTTTTAATTACGGTGCGTGAAGTTCCAGCAATTTGCATTGAGGCACCACTAATTTTCTTAGCTATAAGGCTTGCAAAGCCCGAGACCTTTCCAACAAATGCAAAATTTTCGAAATCGGTTTGTGCGTTCTGGACTTATATCGTCAAGAAAGAAAACCCGACTTTTTTTATATACTCGTATATGTAGATATAAATCATCTAATAAAACTGTGTTTTGTGAAAAAAATTAAAACGAAGAATAAAGATCCAAAATTAACTAGTTGGTATTGGTATTTTGCCTTGAGGCAAGTTACATGAACTTCCCGAACTATGTGTAAATCATCGATTCAATCAATAAAAAATAAATTAATTTATGAGTGATTAAAAGTATTCCGAGTGGATTCATTACACATAATTGAAAACGAATGAACACGTTGTCTCGGAGTATTTTCTAATAGCTAATTTTGACAAATCAATAATTTTTAAAATTGAACCAGTTTTCGTAGGATTTTAATGATTTAGAATGTTTACTAATGCCAAGTACTCTATCGTTATACCAAGTAAATCGTCTAATTTTAATTTTAACAAACGTCAAAAAAACTACTCATTTTCTCAAGCTTTGATGAATTTTTAAAATTAAACTACTTGTCGTAAGGCCGTAATATTTCAGTAAGTTCTATAAGACCATGATATATTTCGGCAAAAAAAGCTCCATAAAAATCGGTTTAAATTTTTTCTCAACATTTAATTATAAGAAAACGGCTCGGTAGATTTTTACCTAAAAGTAATCAGTGTCATTTCCAACTAATATCTTTCGAACAGTTTTTGATTTTTTAAAATCGATTCGGTAGTATGAGCTTAATAAAATGTGGACGAAAAGTGTAACACTTTTTTCCAAATTACAAAGAAAAGGCTCGGCAAATCGTCGCACAAAACTGACAAACGACAATCCTCATACGTTTTAGAGCAAACGTTGATGGAAGTTCTAATTTTGACAAACGCCAAAAAAACGGTACTAACTTTGATGAATTTTCAAAATTAAACGATTTGTCGTAGGGCCGTAATATTTTAATATGATCTAGAAAACTATGAAATCTATGACAAAAAAAATCATGAAAATCACCGAAAAAATTTTTTAACACTTTAATTTTAATACAAGAAAACGGCCCGGCCGATCTTTACCAAAAACTAATCAGCACGATTCCCAATCAATATCTTTCGAACGGTTTTTGAATTTTCAAGATCGATTCAGAATTGCGGGCTAAAACGCGGACGAAAAATTTTTCACTTTTCTGCTATTTACGAAGAAATGGTTAGGCCGATCGTCACACAAAATTGATAAACGATAGTCCTCATCGAGATACATCGAATGGCTTATAAAATTTTGAAATCGGTACAGCCGTTTTTGAGAAAACGTCGAATTACAACAAAAAAAACCGTTCACGCACACGCACAAACACACATACATATACTTTTTTCAAATTTGGTCTCATTCGATTCAGAATGGCTTGAAATGTCGAGAAAACATAAAATTAGTGAGTCGGATTTTTTGACGAAAACAGACGGAAGTTAATAAAATAATTAAGAAATAAAATAATTGATAAGGGAGAAATAAATAATTTGATAATTTTTAAAATAAAAAAAATATGTCAAAATAAATATTTTTTTTTTCAAAAAAGAAATTTTTTTTCAAAAAAAAGTATTTTTTTGTCAAATTTATAGTTTCTCAAAAATCTAATTTTTGCGAAGTATTTTTTTTTTTAAATGTCAATTGTTTTTAAAAAAATAATTTGTGGTACGGAAAGTTCCACCAATTTGCCATAAAGCACGATGCCATGCGCTCCACTAGTTTTTTCTTTAAAATGACATCTATAAGATAAAAGTGAACCTAAACTAGAATATCTGCCAATTTGGTGTACTTATGTTCATTGATCATTTGGACCACCAATTGGCATTTCCTTCACAGGTAAGTCATAGTAATTCGAAAAACGAAACGTAAATCAATTGTTTATAAATATTTTTGTTTCAAAACCTTCTAAACATTTTGGCATACCTTAGGAAAAATAAAAGTATGATTGTGTATTTGCTGTTGCATTTTTTTGTTGACGTTTTTGAGACGAATCAACCGATTGAATTATTCAATTGTCGGGAAGATGTGCTGATTAGTTTTTGGTAAATACAGTTTTCAAATTAAAAAAAAGTCAAATTCTTTCAGTTTCCAAATTTTTTCAAAGCTTTTAAAAAATTTAAATTACAACATGGAAAATTGCAGCAATTTGCCTTAAGGCACGATGCCATGCACCTCTAGTCAACTTGCAACTGGTAAAAAAGTTGGCCTCGCAAACGAATTTCGCCGACGCCCACGCATGGTCTAGCGCCGCCACTGCGTACACACATATATGTACAATTTGAAGTATACCAACATGTTGAAACTTGAAGATAAAAAAAACATTTTCGATTCTTTTGAAATTGTTATAACTTACCCAACGCAAAGTTAAAAATTATATCTAAATCATTTAAAAAAAAGAGTGCGCGTAAGGATCACACGCGTAAGGATTGAAGTAAAACTCATTCGCTACTGTATAAAGTAGCAAATTTAAGTTCAGTAAAACTAAATACATCATACAAATTGTTATAATTTTGAATGTTTATTAGTAATATGGTAACACTCGTGATGCACACATTTATTAGTGTCGTCAATCATTATACACATTTATATAATGATAAATTATAAATTATATATTTATGATTGTGAACAATAATGTAACCAAAGTCGTACTTGAAATATGACATGATCGTTTTAAAGTAATTGCTGATTAATAAATTCTATAATATTCATTCACACAGTGGATTATATTAAACAACGCCTAAACAAATATTGTTTTTGCAAATTAACTCATCCTGTAAGAATTGTGTTTGAAGAACTTCATGTAATTAAAATTAACATACATTCATTCACTGTTTGTATATTTTAACTTTTTCGCTGACGATATAATCTCATTCCTTGAACAGCTGTAATATCCGTCTTGCCTAACAAATTGAAGCCATACTTTTATATTTGTTTTATTTATTAAGCCCTGCACATAGCTTGATCTATGTATAGGTGAAATTAACCTTTCAGATACAGTATCTAGTTTAGGAAGATAATTTGGTATAGGTAGAAATACAAATCCGTTAAATTTACACAAAGTGGGAATTTTACCCGAATTTAATATCTTTCGAAAGTTTGACATACAACCTGATTATTTCAATCAATATTGAAAAAACATTATTAAGAATTTTTTTTGAGCATCATTTGATATTTCTAAGCCACTTTGAAGCCAAAGTCGATCACACACAAAACATACATAGCCAAAGCTATCATTTCTTACGCAGCGCAAATTTTTCCTTAGTTTCATTATTTATTTGCGATCATTTGCACTACAATTATTTATGGGGGACGAGATAAAATATTCTTCCGATCCTGACATTTTTATTAACTCACGAATTATACTGCTAACCCATGTCGCGCCTAAAGAAGTTTTACTTCAGAAAATGTTTAGAGAATACGAGCTAAATACAAGACTCAAGTGAAAGTCGACACATTTTGTTTTGTTTTTGACATATGATTTGACATTTGATGTATTTTTTGTTTTGCTCGCAGACTAGATCGAATAATTGCGATAGCTGCGCTTACTAGCGTCGCAGTCTTCAACTTCACGTTGGTGTTTTCGTTGCATTTGTACGGATTTACACCCATGTCGCGCCTAAAGAAGTTTTTACACCCATGTCGCGCCTAAATAAGTTTTACTTCAATAAATTGTTTAATTAAAAAAGTAAAATTTTGTCTATTAAAAAGGGCGCCTGAACGGATAGGGCAAGGCGACAGAAAGCTTAATCCGCCACTGGTCCCAATAATATACAGATAGATAGATAAATGTAATATATAAGCTATACTTTCTGTATCTCTGCCTTCCGTTTTTCGTGACGCAATATTTGTTGTTTTGCAATACGCGATTTACGTTGTCGCATTCGTTCAATTTCAAGCCTGGCTTCTCGTTGTTCTGGTGTTTCCGCCTTACGCTTCTGGATGTGTCTTAGTCTCCTCTTCTCTCGATCGGCGGCTCGTTCTTCCTCAGTCATATTCAAACGGCGTCTTTTTGCTCTTCGTGCCTCTCGAGCATCGCGGTTGATTATTGACTTGCGAGGAGCCATTATTTCGGTTATCACTGAAACATAAAAAAGTCATTTTTAGTTTTATTTATAATCATGCTCTATGCAATAAGTACATTAAGCTACAACTAGCAAACCCGGCGAACTCCGTTTCACCACCAGATGGTTTCATTTTATGTAATAGAGATGGGTAACTCACTCCGGAGTTATCACTCCGATACAACTCCTCCCTAGGAGTGAATCCGAGTGGAATTGTCTCACCGGATTTGTCATATCCGACTTCCCTAAACTGGTACTAAATCTGTTACTGCGTTGTTGCTTTGGGAAGGAAGCTGTCGCTTTCTCGTCTCACAGGCAGTTTTATGATCTTTTAGGTATACGTTTTTTTTTCAGAAAATATTATTTCAAAGATACAGAACAACGAAATCGTGCTTAAGTGTGAATAGCTCCAATGTATAATTTATTGAATAGTGAGGGGACATATTTCTAGCCACGACAATCTTTGGCCGTGAATGACGGCAATCAGGAATATACACACCGAAAAATACACGAAACAAAATACATTTAATCTGGTTTTTCCATAGCCTGAAATAACAATACTTTAGACTGCAAAGTATATCAGTGACGTCAATAGTATTTTTAAAAAAAATTAGAAAGCAGAAGTATTATTATTTGGTGAAAATATTTTATGATCAATGTTTTGCTTTTATCACAAAGTTTACTAAATTATTTTTATATAAAACTAGCCGACCCGACAGACTTCGTCCTGTCAAAAAAAATTTTAATGTGGCGGTGTTTTGTTTCTATCTTTTTTCTATAATTTGCAAAAAAATATCCTGAACAGAACCGTCACCCTGGTAATAATTCGGGTGTGAATTAAAACTAATTAAATAAAACACTATAAGCATTTAAAAGTAAGTAATTTTATCATGTAAATCATAATTCATAAATCAGTTCAATTTTCATTGTAGTGCTTTGTGAAAACAATGTTTTTTTTTGATTACCTGGCGCATAGACAAACAATCTGATGGTTTTCCAATTTTCCACGGGAACAGATAACATACAATTTTCCATGTGAGAAACATGTTTTTTCAAATTAATACCACAAAACACTTAATGATACCATAAACGCACTGGAAACTGTAGTCGTTTAATCTCAAATGGCACATCAGTCGGAATCATTGGGATGCACGGTGCGAGAACATCTTCTGCTTTATACTATCCTTTCAATATAGTTGCTCACATCATGTTGTTTGGTAGTTTTTTTTTCGCTAACCTTGTTCCGTTGCAAAAGCGCGGTTGGTCGATATTTCGCAACATTATAATTGCCGAACCAACCTTAATTGAAGATTGTGAGGTGACAATCCTAGCAGATCCAGCGAGTTTAAAAACTCCGGTGGATCGTCTTGGTTAGTTGCCGAATCAACTAATTCGCCTGTAATTTGTTCTTGAATTTTGAAATTTAATTCATTCACATCAATGTTTTTGGCTGCCAATATAGCTCGTTAATTAATAGAAAATATTTTCTATGTTTATATAAATATATTAAAAATTAGATTATCAAAAACTACACAAAATGTCATGACATAGATTATTGTTTTTTCTACAAATTTCGTTGCCTACTCGATTAAAAAATTAAAGGGCTATTTTTATGGTTTTTCCGGCAATTATTCGATTTTTTTTTCTCGCCGTAAGAACCATGCTTGGACTTCAACAAACATTTAAAAAAAATAATTGGCCAAATTGGTCCAAGCGTTGTTGAGTTATGCGCTTACCAACAAATTTTGCGATCCATTTTTATATATAAGATTAATCGAAAAAAAATTACGAGTCATTGAGACGATCATGTGGTTGACCGAAAAATGTTTAAACTCGTCATTTATTTTTGAATTTTTTAGAAAAATTATATTATTGATATTTTTTAATTTATTTTATTCATGAATTTTCATTTCAAAAATTAAATGGTATTTGACAAATTCTTAGATGCATCAAATTTAATGCATTATGAATACATTTGTATCGAGTATTCGGTTTCAAAGTTGTCGGAGTCGTGGAGTTGTTAAGCAGATCTAACTCCCCTGAAGCGGAGTCAAATCCGAGTCGATCCGGCTTCGGATATGATAAACCCATCTCTATTATGTAACATTTCGTTTGGCGATTAAATAATGAAGAAAAAAAAAATTGTGTTTCATATTTAAAAGAAAAAAATTTACTACATTTCACAACAGTAATGAATTTATTTCGATTACAAAAATGAAGTGTTATTTAGTCAGGGGCGTAACTCCGCCGTATCAAAAATACGGGGCCCCCGAGCCAGGGGGGGGGGCAAAGAGCGCAAGCAGAAAGCAAAAACAAAATTTTAAAAAAATTGAATAATTTTAACGTAGTTTGCATTTCTTTTTGTTATCGAGAAGTATTGAACTTCAACTTGTAAGCTAACGCTTTAAGAGAATTTATATCTGCTGCAATATTTCTGCAAGCTCTAGCAATCAATTCAATTAGTAAAGCTTTTGCACATCCGATAAGTCAACATTCTTGTGTAGATATGAACAAATATATATAAAACTAATCCAGTTTATACATTCTCCATCGAAAATTGGAATTTGAAATTTTTATAGTTATATTTATAACATTTTTAACTACCCGAAGGAGAAGTTTATGTTTTCATAAAAAAAACCTAATCGCTAATTTTATGTTTTCTCGGCGTTTCAAACCATTCTGGATCAAACCGAACGAAATTAGGAAAAAGTATGTGTGCGTGTGTGAACAGATTTTTTTGCCGTAAATCGACGTTTTCTCAAAAACAGCTGGACCAATTTCAAAAATTTGAAAGCATTTGATGTATCTCGATGAGGACTAGCGTTTATCAATGTTGCGCGACGATTAGCCGAGCCTTTTCTTTGTATTAGGTGCGCAACTAAGTTCTCGCTGTTTGTCAGTATATGGCTCTACCAGTAAGGGTTGGTCGATTTTGACAAATACAAAACGTCATGAGCAAGCTTAGACATATGGCAAACAAACTGATGCGACACATAAGTGATTTAGTTTTTGCATTATATACTTCTGATCAAATGAAAATGTCTAATGTTATGCCAAATAATCGCCATTTGCGGGAAGTGTTGATTTTCTTCTTCTCATTCGAAAAAAAAACGGCAGCTCAAGTTCATCGAGAGCTACGGAAATGCTACTTTGGGCGAATCAGCATGTCGTGATGGGTTTTGTCGCTTCAAAAACGGCGATTTTAATGTTGACGACCTTCCTACTAAAGGAAGGCCAAAACCTTCAAAAACGCTAAATTGAAGGCCCTGCTCGAAGAGGATTCGTGCCAAACTTAAGAAAATCTTGCTTCAGAATTAGGAGTCACCCATCAAGCCATTTCCAAGTGATCACATGTTGGGGAAGATTCAGAAGTAAGAAACTTGGGTACCTTGTGAGCTGAAGCCAAGAGACGTCGAGCGTCAATTTTACGCCTGTGAACAACTGCAGCAAGAAAACCTGTGAACCAGTGGCAAGAAAAGAAGGGTTCTTTATCAAACCGTCACAGGTGATACAAAATGAATGCAATAGAGCAATCCAAAAAGAAGAAAATCTCGGTTTGGCCAAATATTCACTACGAAGGTTATGCTTTGCATATGATGGAACCAGGTCGGTGGTGTTATTTATTATGAGCTGTTGAAACCGAGCGAAACCATCACTGGAGAACTGTATTCAACTCAATTGATGCAATTTAACCGAGCACTGCGCGAAAAACGGACACAATACGAGCCGAGTGATTTTACTGCATGGCAAAGCTCGGCCTCACGTTTTCAAGCCCCTTAAAAACTTGGGAACGATCAAATAAAAAGTCCTACCCCACCCCGCTACATTCCCCAGATATTGCACTGTCCATTTTTTACATGGTCCGTTCGATGGCACATGGCCTGGCTGATCAGCGGTTCAACTCATATGAAGACGTCAGACTTGGTTCGTGAATAGCCTCAAAAGACGAACTTTTGGCGCCAAGGTATTCGAGCTCTGCCAGAAAGATTAGGCTGAGATGTGTCCAGCGATGGACAATATCTTGAATGAATCCATATGTAAGAGTTTTTTATATAATAAAGTTACATTTTCATCGAAAAACAGCGAGAACTTAGTTGCGCACCTAATAAATAAATATTCCTTTAATTTTATATATTTTTATATTTTGTAAACAATTTTTGAAGGAGGAGGGGCCTCCAAACAAATTTTGATACGGAGCCCCGCCAAGACACGCTACGCCCTGTAATTAGTGGAACTTCTCTAAGTAATTCATTAATCCAATGTCAAAATTTTCATCATCACCGTAGTTCGCAGTGGGATCATATTGAAATGCCAAGCGATTGTATGATGCCAATGATCTTATTTGTGTGCTCACGCGTTGTCTCAACCGGGCATTTTCTCTTATTAAATTTGTCTTTCTTCGCTTAAGTTCCGTGAATACGCTTGTTGCTGGCTTGCATGTCTTGCGCGGCGGCCGATGTTCCC